CCCGGACAGATCCCCTCTTTCATTCCATCACATATTACAGATCTCCCGGACAGATCCCCTCTTTCATTCCATCACATATTACAGATCTCCCGGACAGATCCCCTCTTTCATTCCATCACATATTACAGATCTCCCGGACAGATCCCCTTTCATTCCATCACATATAATCCCCACTGAGAACATATTTTAATGGCAATAGTATCAAAAATTGATTAACAGTGCAGCTTTTTCCATTATAGTGTTTAAAATGTTTTCTCTGTGATACTTTACATGTGGGGTCATGTTTTAAACACCCGGTTGAGATATGGTATCACTTCATAAATTTATAGTAATTTAGATGAAATCCCTACAATCAGGATACAATCAGAAATGAGGTTCAATCAGAAAATTGAGTCCAGAAATGAAGGTAAAAAATCTTTTAAACAGGAACAAAATGAAGTTCTCTTATGGAATATTGTTCTCACAGTCATCCTGCCATAGCTCACCCACAGAGCAGTTCACGCCCTTCCAGCCCTTGTAGCAAAGGCACCTTCCATCTCCATCCAGGCCGTCAGTACACTTGCCATTTCCACAGTTACACACTGCATAACGAGACAAAATATATCTCATATGATGCTTCATTGACAAATATTTCAATATAATAATATTTATGCACCACGATGGCTTCAGGCCAGTCAGCTGCAACGGTCTCCAGCCAAACAAGCATTCTTCTCACAGTAGATACATGTTAAAGCTATAATTAACACTCCCTATAAACTAGTGGAACTCCCTGTAAAAGTGCCCAGTTATTTCTGGATGCTTCTGCTTGCCATTGTTGGAGGTGTGTGGCTCAGGGGTTTAGGCCTCTGTGCTTGAGGTCAGAAAATCAGTGGTTCAGATCCTGCGGCTGGCAGACCAATGACCATTTGTGCCCTGGAGGGAGGCCCTTAACCCCCAGCTCTCAGGGGGGGCTGCACATTGGCTGCCCCTGCATTGTGACCCCCAAGCTTCCTCTCACCTGTCTGTATCTACAGCCAACACATCATGCAGTAACTCTACAGCCTGAATTTTTAAATACTGACTTATTTATTCATTTATTCTCCTTCCAGTACCATCTGTCACTTTACTGCTAATCACACATTATTTATGGATATTTATGATTAATGTTTAATGTATATTCTTTTATTTCTTAGAGTCAGGCAACCAGGCATTTCCCTGCACTTTATAGAGAGAATGTGTTTATGTGCAACTGTGTATGTGACAAATGAATCTATGATTGATTGATTACTTGATTCATTGATCGACTGACCACAATCTGCGACACAGTACATCATAGCTCAGAATATGATGATTCAGGAAGGCTGTGTTATCGATGTGAGCCTCTTGAGAGACACGGAGGATTCAAGCACGAAGGCAGCTACGGGGATAGAGATGGTAGCCGGTGTTCTCATTATTACCCGACTTGCAGTCCTTGCCGTATCTCCCGGGGTCGCAGGTTTCGCAGGCCGTCCCATGGAAGCCCTCGTTACACAGACAGTCCCCGCTGCCAAAGGTGCCATCCTGGCACCGCCCGTTACCCGAGCACCAGTTACCCAGCTTTCCAGGGCATTTGAAGCAGCCGTGCCCAAAATACCCCGGGCAGCAGGAGTGGTCCTGTAACACGGGCGGACAGGGTGAGTTCATCTGGCTGCATCGCAGTCCGACCGCAACTCAATCAGCAACGGGCAGTGATGATAGCCACGCGTACCTTTTCCTTTCTGAAGCAGTCCGTCATGCAGCCCGATACAGATTTCACTTGTTTCCCGTAATTGCAGTTCGGTTCCATGTTAGATGGGAATGCAAGGGTCACCTGCAAAGCCATGCATCCGCCAAAGTTTAACTGACAGCAAGGAGATCACCGACTGAGTACCTGATCGTTACTGAGAAATAAGCTTACAGGAATGGAGTTACGTGGACATCTTGGGGACATTTCACAGGATCCACATTTCCCCTGAGGGATTCAAACATACAACACAAGCTCAGCGCACTGGATAGTTTCCAGTGATGTCAGTTATATAAAAACAAAAGTACAGATCTAGTTCACTTGACGGTGTCGCACACAACTTCATTTCAATTAAATAACTGCTGCGGAAGCGAGATGCTTACTCTGATTTTTATCATCGCATCTTTGATACAGCGATTCTTGTGAATTTCAAAGAGCTGGGAAATACCAAACACAGCCCCATTCTTGGTTACAGTGAAGTTTCCATCTAGGGCGACTTCATTAGCAAATATCTGCAAACGGGTAGTGAAGCACATGCTTAGAGTCAGTGCTGGGCATCAAGTGGCTAAGTCTCCGGTGAACTGGAGGTCATGCTGTGTAACTGCACCTCGTTCTGATGGTTAGTATGAAACATGATCTGGTGGGCGGGGCCTAGGAGCGTGCTCTTCACCGTCCCGTTCCTGAGGTCATCGGGATACAGCCGTTCACTGACAATGATGTGATACTTGAAGGCACCTTCATCCTGGTGGAAATCATAGTTCAAACTCTTTTCAAATGCTGATAAACAAAGTTGAAATAGTGAAACATTACATTACAACTCAAACCGTAACTAGTAACCACATGGAAAAGTGCTGACTCAAACAAACCAATGAAATAAATTTTGGTATAATCAGTAAAGTTGACAAACCAGTCCTGTAGAATTCGTCTCACTCATATGTTTCCTGATGGCATCATCAAGTGGGACGAAGAGAGTATATTTCTGTGACTGGATGATGTCTGTCAGATTGTACAGCTATCCAAAAATAACAATAATGTTTCCACTTAACATAATCACAAACACAGGCAGTTATCAACCCCATACATAAGTCAGATTTACCTTCTAAAATCCTTCATTCTTATAGCAAAAAACACATAAGTCAAAAATGTAATATGTACTAAAGAACACATACAAGATACACTATATGGACAAAAGTATTGGGACATGCCTCTTAATCACTCAAGTGTTTCATTCAGACCCGTTGCCACAGGTGTATAAAATCAAGCACCCAGCCATGCAGTCAGGTTGACAAACATTTGTGAAAGAATTGGTCGTTCTTAAGGGCGCAGTGAATTCAAGTGTGGTACTGTCATAGGATGCCAATAAGTCAGCAAGAAAGTTCCTGAAATTTCTTCTCTGCTAGATATTCCATGGTCAACTGTAAGTGGTATTATTGCAAAGCAAAAGCATTTAGGAATAACAGAAACTCAGCCATGAAGACCACGTAAAGTAACAGAGTGGGTGAATAGAATGTTAAAGTTGACTCAGTGACTGCAGAGTTCCAAGCTTCCTCTGATATTAACCCCAGCACAAAACCTGTAAAAAAACCTGTAAAAAAATGGTAGCTGCACGGAATGGGCTTCCATGGCCGAGCAGCTGCATGCAAACCTCACACCAGCAAGCACAATGCTAAGCATCACAGTGGTGTAAAGCAAACCGTCACTCTGAAGCAGTGGAGACATGTTCTGTTGAGTGACTAATCATGCTTCTCTGTCTGGAATTCTGAAGGATGAGTCTGGGTTTGGCAGATGCTAGTGGAACGTTACCTGCCTGACTGCACTGTGAGGTTGGTGGAGGAGGGATAATGGTATGGGGTTGCTTTTCAGGGGGTTTGGTTTGGCGCCTTAGTTCCAGAGAAGGGAATTATTAATGTGCCAAACACATGCCAAAGTCTTGTGGAAAGCCTTCCCAGAAGAACGGCAGCTGTTATAGCTGCAAAGGGGGGACCAACTCCATTTTGATGGATTTAGAATGGGATGTCATAAAAGTTCCTGTAGGTATAATGGCCCAATATTTTTGTCCATGTAGTGTAAGTGAAAACATAAAGTTTAAATATATTTTCAATGTATGTTGCCTTTGTCCATTAATGCTTCCATAAGGTCTAAGTATCTCAGATATCAGTCTGGATGTACGTGAGGCAGTGTTACGTAAGTCTAGAGGTGCTTGTGTGGCCATGGCAATGCAGAAGCTACATGGTACAATGGAAAGGACAGTGACATTTCACCTCCGTAAAACCTTCATCTTACCAGTGTGGCCTGCCTGAAAAGACTGAAAGCTGGAGTTTGGTTCAGTAGCTCCATCAACGTGGGGGGTGCCTGGGGCAGGTCTGAGAGCCGTGGCGTCAGAACCTGAGGAGAGTCCCTCACCTATGTCATTATTATCGTCACATCACTGTTGCATCATCAAGTTACCAAGGTGGAATTGAACTGAATTGAATTGAATTGAATCTTTATTTGCCATTTACACAGATGTTTCTCTTGTGTGGTTCCCTGATGGTGGAATGAACCACATCTGGTCATCAGACTTCCTCTTCACCTTCAAGAAATGCCTCAAAATCCATCTGTTCCATGAATTCCTTTACTATCCCGATTGTTCTTTGAACGCTCTTATGTTGCATTTACTGGCCTTTGCATAGTCTTATTAGGTTCTTACTTTACGTGTAGTTTTGTAGCTGTTTGTAGCTCCTGCTCCAAAAACTGCTTAGACTTGGCATTCATTGTAAGCTCAGGCTAGCTGCACTTATGTATAGTTAACTCCCAGACAACATGGGTGTTTTTGCAATGTGCTATTTACCTCGCTGTACTCTGCTCTGGACCTAAACGACTGCCAAATATGTAGATGTAAATGGGAAGTTACAGCAACACAAGTGCATTGGAATTATTGCATGGTTCCCTCAGTCAAACAACAGACAAGACTATAATATTACAGGGTGCGTGAGTAATCACATTGGCAGGAAATGCAGAGAAATACCTTATCAATGACATGGATGTATCCATTCGTAGCGGGGATGTCTGGGATGATGATGGTTGCGTTCTGTACCATGACCTCCTGACAAATAGGAATTTCACTGACATTTAATTGGCACAAACTTGGTCCAAATCCACATACTGTGTAGGCTGATGTACACAATAGACGAAGATAAATGGCACAAGGAAAATAAAATGTAAAATGAAGAAACAGAGAAAAACACATTCATACCTGATGAAGAAGAATGTGACATTCTGTCATTTTATAGTCAATGATTATTAATGAACAGGAGCTCCTAGTAAATACCAGTAATGACTGTGATGTTCAATGTAATGCTGATAATGTAACGCGAAAAACTGTATATAAGGTCTGGCACATTCATGCCATGTAAGACAGATAAATTTTGGGTTCAGTCTCTGAGGTGATCCACATTATCATGTAAACTTCTTCAGTAAAATACTGAGCTAGTAACGTAAAAAGCAATTTTCAATTATTGACGTCAAATTTGAGAAAGTTTTTGTGCAGTTTTACTGTCGCTTAATTGTTTGAGTAGAGTGGCATGAATAAAAAACAAAAACAGTACAGCATCAATTAAAGTAGTATAACACCAATAAAATAATAACATTAGCTAACATACCCCGTTTTGGTCCTTTATTCCCCATTTAGTTTGAGGGTTGAGGGTTGCCAGATCCTTATTTACATGCTTCTTCAGGTCCTCATATGAAAAAGCACCTTCTAAAAAGTGCACCCTGGCAACACAAACTGGGAGCTAAATATACTGTCAGCAATTGCTGGATAATTTGCTGATATGTGCTATGCTACTTACTTAAGTAAATACGGAAGCCTGTAAGGGTCATTCCAAAACTTCATTTCATTATCATTTAGATTGTTGAAGGCATCTTTTGATGGCACCAGTGCTGTTACATTGCCTTTAAGGTTCAATGGAGAGGATTTCTGTTTAAGGGGGAAAAAAGAGCAATGTAATGCTATTGATCGGAAACAGTGAACGATTGAAAATCCATGCAAATTGAATACAATGAACTCAATTCTAAATGAAATTCTATTGGAAATAAGCAGTATACCTTGATGAAGTCATTAAACTGATAAAAGTCTGAATTTGCATCCAGCTCCTGAATCAAATACATTAGGGAAAATTACAAAGACGCATTGGCATTTATTGGGCAGAATATACGTCCGAAATAATTTTCATGAAACAGATGGCATATGACTTTCACCAACAATTAATATGCTGCCGTAACACATAGTCCCATCTCCACTGTAGCCAGCTGGACAGACACACATGTACGTTCCACCTTCCCGCAGCTCACAAGAAGCCTGATTGGAAGGAAATTCCTCAGTGAGCATCTATGAGTTGACATTTCAAGCAATCCCTGCAAAATATGTCTGACATTTATAAATTAATTTATAAATTCACATTGCTAATGCTTTGGCCATTGTGGCAAAAGTCTCATATTAGCCATTGCAAACAACAAACCAATGCAATCAACAGAGTACTGATGCCATGGTAAACCGGTCAATTACTCCAGTCTTTGCACTTTGCTCCTATTGGCTGAGAGGTGTTGCTAGTCAGGAGAGGCTAAATGGATTCACCAACCAGCATGTGGCAGCCTCCGTTGTCAATCAAACAGGGGTTGATGATGTCACAGGATATGCCATCGCCCTGGTAACCTCTGTTACAGATGCATTCGTGCTGCAAACAGAAACAAAAAGCAGGCTGCATGTGTCTTTGCTGGAGCATTCGTGAAGCAAACTGAGAAGCCGTAAACATGCATTATACCCAAAATGTTAAAAAGATAAAAAGGATCTTCCGCGTGCCGCACAAATACGTTTCACCAGGTTCTCGCATACATTTTAATGACTAACTATTTAAATCAGATATTAGGACACTATATGTTTGTCTGTACTTGAAGTATGCAAAATATACTTTTGTTGCTGTATGCACAAGGATTTCCTGCTGGGATGAACAAAGTTTATCTTATGTTACTTTGTCTTAATTCGGGGTTAAGTAATTAAGAGCTGCCAGTCAAAGACTGGATTTGTATGGTGCCGTTTTATCCCAAAAGGCAAATTTCTGTCAGGCTAAAATCATGTGCTTATAGCTACCTCCCCAGGGCCCACAAAAATGCAGCTGGCGTTTCCATGACAACCACCATGACTTTCCAGTAAACAGTTATTAACTTCCACACAGTACGTCCCATCTCCAGTCCAGCCCTGGTTGCAGACACAGGAGACGTTTGCAGGCCCTGCGTAAATGCACTGGGCCTGAGGAGAGATAAGAGGACCTCTGTAGGGGGCTTCAAATTTGGTATTTTAAGCAGAATATTTCATGGTACTTAGCAAAGCAAAAACAGGAAAGGCATATGTATCCTGGAAAGCAGAACACAGCAGAAACAGGAAGAGAGGAGAAACACTTTCTGTGTGCAGATCTTGTCAGACTTACATTTTTATCACACCCCCCTCGGCTGGCACTGAGGCAGAGGTTTATGGGGGTGCAAGAGCGTCCGTCCCCTTCGTACCCTGCTCGGCAGACGCACCTGCAGTTCAAAGGCAGTTAGGAGAAGGATGTTAGATGGATGGATGGATGGATGGATGAATGGAGCAGAATAGAAAAGAGTAGAATGCCGTTATTGTTATTGTACATAGTAGATCCAATAAAATGTAATAGTGAGTGATATTTCCAAAGAAAATTATGCATACATTAGAATATGAGTAAATATATAAAGCATATTAAGTATTTTTGTTATTATATAAGTGGTATAATATTCGGTATAATATATTATCATAAAATTTAATATAATGAATATAAAATATACATGTAGTATATATGATATAAAAAGATGCCTTTCAACCATGAAATAAAATATTGCACAGCAACTGGACTGATGGATGGATGCAGTAATCAAACAATGCCTTCTGCTTCTAGAACAGTCTTTTAACACAGGAAACTAACATTGGGTGGAGCCCAGAGAAATCACAGTCTGCGTGAATGTAGCAGATCTGGAAGGTGCCATCAGAGTCGCAGGGCTTGACCGTCTTATCGCAGAACTCCCCGGAAAATCCTTGCTGACAAGAGCCTTTTCTGCAGATCCCCGTGCTGCCCGGCCTGTTGTCACAGACTCCATGCACACAGCGGCACTCTGAAACAAACAAAAACAAATTCAGGTCACTCAGCGGCACTCTGAAACAAAAACAAATTCAGGGCACACAGCGGCACTCTGAAACAAAGACAAACTCAGGGCACACAGGGGCACTCTGAAACAAACAAAAACAAATTCAGGGCACACAGGGGCACTCTGAAACAAACAAAAACAAACTCAGGGCACACAGCGACACTCTAAAACAAACAAAAACAAACTCAGGGCACACAGCGACACTCTAAAACAAACAAAGACAAACTCAGGGCACACAGCGACACTTTAAAACAAACAAAGACAAACTCAGGGCACACAGGGGCACTCTGAAACAAACAAAGAGAAACTCAGGGCACACAGCGGCACTATGAAACAAACAAAAACAAACTCAGGGCACACAGCGGCACTCTGAAACAAACAAAAACAAACTCAGGGCACACAGCGGCACTATGAAAAACTAAGTGCACACAACAACACACTAAAACAAAAATTAAAACAAATGTCAGACCTCTCCGTACTTCCTATCATGGGCCTTTATGAAGGTACTTGTATACAGTTTTTCTTGATTGCTTTGACCTGCTTAAAGAAACTGGGATCCACTCAGTTTTCATCATCATTATCTCAGCGGAGCAGAAGGCACCTTTTGCAAATGTGTTAAGCCTTTCTCATTCAATTGACACATTTTCCCCACCCTTTTGCAAAACAGTTAACACGGATGTCATTCAAGCAGTCCAAACTCCATTGTTTTAGCTATGCTAACCAAACAGAAATCACCTATTCCTAACTATTAGAAACTACCTAGATCAGTATGAAATCACTGAAGCACCTGTTTCACACAAATCTTCAATTAGGCCTTAAAAGGTGCCACGTCTGTGTTGTTCTTTACCAGCATGGATGGAGGAGGTCTTAGGCAGATGAAAGTGAGAGTGAGAGTGAGAGGTAGAGGGGTCCGAGGAAGAGGAGTCCGTGTGCGAGGTGGAGGTGTAGTTCGAAGGGCTCGAGTTTCAGAAGAAATTCGGGCAACTGTTATTGATCACGTTATCAATCATGGCCTTTCACTTAGAGAGGCTGGACAAAGAGTACAACCTGTTATAAACAGCAACACTGTTGCATCCATTGTCAGGATTTTTCGACAGGAGAACAGGTAATGTTGCTGTACAATATCTACAGAAATATCTTCAGTGATATACTTTATGTAATTGTTTCCTCATTCCCATTACATGTATTCTTTATAGAATCCAAAGGCTGGCATTCTCTAGCGGTAGAGGGAAAATTTTTAATGTTCAGATGGAGGCATCTGTTGTGAACATGGTTGTGGCAAATAATGCCATAAGGCTGCAGGAAATCAGGGCAGCAGTGCTCGCAGATCAGGGCATATTTAGGGTGAAATCAGGGCAGCAGTGCTCGCAGATCAGGGCATATTTAGGGTGAAATCAGGGCAGCAGTGCTCGCAGATCAGGGTATATTTAGGAGCACCAACAACGTGAGCCTGACCACCATTGACCGCGTCTTAAGAAGTAACCATATGGGCATGAAGCAGCTCTACAGAGTTCCATTTCAAAGGAGCTCTGATGTTGTGAAGGAGGCCAGATGCCAATATGTGGGGATAAGGAAACATTACTATACTGTAATGCCTTGTCATATCATGCAGTTAGAGTCAACTGGAGTCACTTTTCATTGTAATTTTGCCTTTTTTTCTTAAAGAATAATGGAGCTTGAAGCAGAGGGGGCACATCATGCCTTCATTTATGTTGTTTTGAATCGAGGAGTGACAGGAGAAGGGCCCAATCAGCTTTCATTTGGGGCCAGTGCCCCTATGTTCCCACCTCTCTATACACCCCTGGAGTGGAGGTAAGGAAATATTACTATACTGGAATGCATTGTCATATCATGCACTTAGAGCGAACTGCAAGAGGAAGAAACAAGTCTGAAGATAGATAAAATAAGCATGACAGTTTTGGGGGTTTGAGGAGACAGAGTGATACAGTAAATTGGCCACACTTTCCTTAAGCCGCTATGCTCACCCTCATCACACTCCTCCCCGTGTTTGGCCTCGTCTGCGCAGATGTGACACGCAGTGCCCTTGAAGCCCGGCTTGCAGCTGCAGGTCCCGTTCCCCGTAATCCCATCCAGGCACTGCTCAAGAACGAGGAAGAAACATGCAGTCAGTTTCCCCGCTTCCTTTTCCTTCTCAGGTAGACAGAGAGGATTTCCCACGGAGGCAGGCAGAGGACTTGCTTACAGTCCCTTTCCCGTAGCAGGGCTCCTGGAAGCCTCCAGAGCAGGGCTTGCAGTCCGGTCCATAGAACCCCTTACAGCACTCGGCTCTCTGGAAGGAGCAAGAGAGTCACAGGTAGAGACTGGAAATCTGTCCAGGTGAGGCCTTTTCCTGGGCTGCATAAGGGCCCCCCATGGTACCAACCATCCGGGTCAGGTTGCAATATTTAGCACAGCCCCCGACGCTCAAAGCAGAGCTTGAAGAAGAAGCCTGGTATTCACAATCCACCATATGACTCCTCTGTGAATAAAGAGCAAACATAACAATGACTTTTTCTTGTTTCTTCTTCATCCTTTGTTCACAAAATATGATTTTAAGTTTCCCTTTTCTTGGATAAGAAGGCACTTAGAGGGCATCTTTGGACTAATAAAGCTTTATTTGTACAAATATTAGACACACCAAATGTGTTTTTTTTGCATATCCCAACTTGTTCTCCTGAGGGCCAATCAGGGGCTTGATGATGATGCAGCTCTTCTGCTAAGCATGGGATTTAATCTGGTGACTTTTTGATCAGGGGCATGAAGGCCTAACCTGCTGAGCCACCCCCCCAGTCCCCCCCCCAGTCCATACTGCCTCCCCCGAGTCCATACACACCAGGTTCTACCACAGAGTATTAGCCCCCACAGACGTGTCTGGGTTGTGTTTACCAGTTCTGTGGTTCCAGATGGGCAGTGGGTCTCAGACAGCTGGTCACACCTCACACATGGACCCTGAACAGCCAGCAGGAATTTAGTTTACATTACTTGTTTATGATACACAGCAGAAGTCATACATAGACATTAACTGACCCACTTCTCTTAGCTCCTTATGGGACACTTTGATCTAAAGCTGTTTATAGATTCTTCTGATATTCAACAGTTATCTATTATAGTCGCGTATCTTGTGTCTGGATTACTGCCTATTTGTGTTAATTACACCGGAAATCCAGTACTCACAAATTAAGTCACTTAAATACTTGCCTCCTGCCAAGTTATCAGTCATCTACCATAACCATGGGAACGACATAGGAAGGGCATGAACTTAACCTAACCTAAGCTAACCAAAAGGTTGCTCGTTCACATCCCAGTCTCTTTGAAAAAGCTACTTCACCTGAATAGCCCTAGTAAAAATGTTTCGCATTTTTTATTTATTGTTACCGTTTTACTGTCTAAATGTCTTTTTTACTGTCTAAATGTATGTTTTCTGGTACTGTAAATCGACATTGTACTGTAAATGCCCTATCTACCTGTCTAAAGGTGAGACACTCTTCAATGCCAGCTTGTGCAGGGAGACTCTTAACCTACCGTGGTGATTATGCTCTCAGTGACGTCACACCGCTTGGGCAAGATGGGCTCAATGGAGGGCGGGACAAGAACACCATTAATCAGATGGACGATCCCATTGGATGCTATGATACTGCTGCTTCCTAATATCACTTCTTTGTCTCCAAGCAACATCCTTCCCTTTGGAAAAAAAGCAACCAAGGGTGTAAAGAGTAAATGAAGAGAAAACCACACTCTTTATCGTTCTTGACACTCCTATAATTCATTGCTAAAGTATTTTTTCGAAAGCAATGGAGTTACTTACGTCATTGGTGACATTAACCCTTATGATCTGATTGGCCATCGTTTCTAATTCAGACATGCTGGCCAGCTGGTCTAATGCAACCTGGAAAGGCAGTTTACTGATAAGGGCATGCATTGATGTAAGAGAGCCAAATCAGAAAAAGGCTTAATCTGATAATGTAATGAATTCATTGAGCACCCTGCTAGAACAATATCTCAGTCTTATGTGGTGGTTGAGTGAGGTGGTACTGTAGGACTTCCCTTCAGTGGAATAGAACATCCTTGATGAGAAGCTACTAATCAGGGGAGTTAGGGGGGATCATGACCCCCCCAATAATCAGATCCAGCCAATATAACCCCCCCCAGTAATCATGTTTCCCCTGTAATGGGTGGAGACCTCGACCCCCCCCCAATGTTCCAGCCAAAGTTACGGCCTTGGTTGGCCCAGATGAGCACACCAGACGTGGAGATCTTACCGATGCCGCTGCAGAGAAGATGTGGTGTTTCAGGAGCTCCTGTAGCTTGTGCTGCGCCTTCAGAATTAGAACACGACCTTACGGCTAACGGTTTGCCAAACACAGCAATATCAAACACGGCTGAGTGTCAGGATGGTTGTATTAGTCAGAATGGGAGGCAGCCGATGCTGCTAATGGATCTGCAGTAAAGGATCCAGTGGTGTGAGCCTGTCAGGGCCTGAAATCAATGTATCTCACCTTGCTCTGGACAGCTAAATAAGTAATGCAATGCACTTCAATGGATCAACATTAAGAATGATGATTGTACTGTTATTTGCACATTTGCATTCACATTTACGTGTTTAGTGACACTTTTGTGAAGCAGAAGGTAATCAGTTAATGCTTCTGGTCCCAATAGCTGATTTTCACCAATACAGGTGGGGTTTGCAATGGTCACTCACATGGGTGATCATGTATGTTACAGTGCCGTCCTGAAAGAGGTCCAGGGCCTCATTTGTGGGCGCGAACACCGTGAGGGGACCAGCACTCCGCAAAGACACGGGAAGACTGCAGCTCTGAGGAGTCAGAGAGAGAAGGACTCTGCTCAGGGGCTCATCAAACTCAAGCAGCTCAAACATCAACGTGTCCACAACGTCCCCTCAGTCTCCTTGCTCACCGTCACACATCCGCCAAGCACTTCCTGATGGCCCGGTGACACTTACGTCTAGCAGTGAGCGGAATCGGCTGAATCTTGGATCCTGAGCAATAATTTCCCCGACGGTTTCATTTGCAAGCTTGAAATAACATGAAATAAGATGAGCGTGTGAATATGAACTCCTGCAAACTTCTCTGACAAGCAGTGGATCATTAAGATAAGATTTCTGCTGCTTTACCTGCTTATGAACAGAAGTGACATCTGAGTGAGTGTTTGTGATTGGCGTGTCAATGATATGGATAATGCCATTGGATGCAGGAATGTCACTCTGGATTATCGAGTACAAGATGTCCGGGTCACGGATGAGGCAGAATTGCTGTCAAGATATAAAAACAATTTCCCCACCGAAACATCAAACGTCAGCAGTATTAAATGTCATTCGATGTTCGCATTGGGATCTGAAGCAGACGCAGAACCTCCTCCCCTCCACCGTGGGCCACACCTTGTCTTCCTTGAACCTGACGGCATCTCCTCCAAAGGTCCAGAAATTGTTGCCCTGCAGATCTCTAAGGAGATGCTGCCCGAGGATGAGGTGGTGTCTGCAGAAGGAACTCTCTGAGACTCCCTATTACAAAGACAAGCATGGTAGGATGTAGCAGCACTACGATAATCTCCCGTCCGGTTACAAAGACTCAGCCTTGCGTAATCGTAGCAAAGTTCCGGCAGGGAATCTGCTCTTACTGTGGGTGCTGCTCTCAGCAGTGGGACGAAGGCAGTAAACGGACCGTGTTTGCTAAGTGTAATCTGGCAGCCCTTTTCTGCAACAGCACACAACAGCATGAATAATTAGATAAACCCCATCATTTATTTAGAAGCTTGAAATGAATGTAAAGGCAGGCAATATGCCGAGAAGTCTGGTTATTAATATTTATTTATGTTATATAGTATTTATATTAAGCATTCTGTCCACAGTGTACCCTGCCACATGAATGTTATCTTGATTGTATTTTGCGACATCCTGCATCTCGTGATATCGTGAGGAGTCCAGCTGGCCGGCATAAGCCTGTTACCAAAAAGAGTCACGGATCCCGTGATTTCTCCATTCTGCCTCCCACTCCTGTCCAGCTCCAGGACCCTTTCCATGATGCTCCCAAAACAGCGCCTCCCATCGCCGACCTGGTGAGCGCCGCAAGTGCAGCTGGAACAGAAATGCACCAATCTCCCAGTGCCCGACGCGGCTTATATGAATTATAAGAGTCTCAAAAGCCACCCCCCCCCAGTCACCTGGGCAGCTCGTCGGGGCCTGTCTCGCAGCGTGCGCCCCTGTCACACGTCATATCTGTGCAGGCAGATCTTGGGGCACACCCCTCTGAAGGTGAGGACCCTCCCATTGTGCCCTTACAGGCGCAGCGGGACTGTCGGGGGGCAGCGCAAGGCAGCCAAGTTACATACAATACAGACTGACACGAGGTTATGGAAGACGCCAGAGTGGAAGTCTCAGGCCCTCACTTCTGACTGCTGTATGAGACCTCTGTACATGATAGATAGATAGATAGATAGATGGATGGATGGATGGATGGATGGATGGATGGATGGATGGATGGATGGATGGATGGACGGACGGACCGATGATGGATGGATGGATGGATGAATGAATGGATGAAGGTGATCTACAGTATCCAACAGCATTCAGAATGTCCCTAAGACTGCTGGCTGAGAACATACAAATGGAGAGCGGTTCACCTTTCCTGGGCTAACGTAGACACATGTGGTGGAGTTGGCGGGGCAGTCTCCGTGGTCCACGGAGCAGGGATTGACCGGCAGGCAGACTTTGCCGTCTCCTTCGTAGCCCACTTTGCATTTGCACTGGGGGCCCCTCCCACCCAGGTAGGTGCAATCCGCATTCTCAGCGCATGTGTCGCGGACACAAATACCTCACAACACGAGACATGGTTGAAAAACTATTAAAACATTTATTCGCTTAAAGAAGGACTAGCGTGATAGTGATAAAAATATTATTTCAAATGTGCTATTTAAATGCACGTTGAATCGCAGATGTAAAGCGATGAAGTTGCTATGCTGAGATTGTCACCTGATAGACTGTCACATGGGCAGGAGAAGGTTTGGCTGCTAAAGAAAGTAACATTTGGACAAAACACACTAAGAAGCTCTGGACAAACACTAACTGACACATTTTTATCATGGACATTTATATACAGCTGACAGAAATTTGTTGCAGATCCTCATGGGATCAATAAAGTGCCTGTTATCTTATTTTTAAGAGTATTACCTGCGCAAATGCTCCCATTCGTCTTAAAGCCAGGAAGACACTCACACACTGCGTTGCTGCCATTCCCTTTGCAGTAAGAGTTAGTGGGACAGTTTGAGCAGGATTCAGTAACTGAAAGACATGGATACAGTGAAACATTAACAACTGGTCTATACCAAAACGCACACAGAAGACTGACATTGTATTAGCAAACCAAAAAACACACTCTAAAAATCCACCTATCCAGACCTTTTTGCCATTTACATCAATTATTGCAAAGGGGAATCTCTGTGCCAATCCCAGGATTTATAACAAACGAGACAAAATGGCAAAGTGTGGGGGGAGGGGGGGTCTTTACCTGTGTTGCATCCTGACCTTGTGTGCAGGGACTTTACCTGTAACGCATCTTGATGTTGTGTATGGGGGGTCTTTACCTGGGTCATATCTTGACCATGTGTGTGCAGGGTCTTGTGTTATATCTTGGCCTTATGTGTGCGGAGTATATATCTGTGTTGCATCTTGATTCTGTGTATGGAGGGGTCTTTACTTGTGTCGCATCTTGACCTTGTCTGTGCGGGGTCTTTATCGGTGTTGCATCTAGGCCTTGTGTGTCTGCAGTCTTTACCTGTCTTGTATCTTGACCTTCTGTATGGGGTTTCTTTACCTGTGTCGTATCATGGCCTCATGTGTACAGGGTCTTAATCTGTCTCGCATCTTGATCCTGTGTATGGGGCGGTCTTTACCTGTGTCACATCTTGATTCTGTGTATGGAGGGTCTTTACCTGTGTCGTATCTTGAACTTCTGTAAGGGGGTCTTTACCTGTGTCGTATCTTGATCTTGTGTATGGGGGTCTTTCCCTATGTTGTGTCTTGACCTTGTGTATGGGGGGTCTTTACCTGTGTCACATCTTGACCTTGTGTGTGGGGGGGGTTCTTTACCTGTGTCGCATCTTGATCCTGTGTATGGGGGCTGGCAGTAACATTCCCCGTTCCCTCTCGGCCCCTTGTTACACTGTCCATGGACACAACTGCACTCTACAGCAGGTGAGCAACAGGGAAGAGGTGGAGATCCATCCAGATTCAGCGATATTACACAGGCTAGAGGGCTTCTGAATGGAAAGCTACTGCACTGAGGAATAAGCTGGCAAACATGTAATGCCAACTGATGCTAATGTCCTGCTGATTCCACTGAATTATTGCCCAACTGCTTATATTTTTACATGGAAACAGGAAACAATGACTGATAGCTGAAATCATCCTCCTGAAATCATAATGATAATTTTAAATATTGCTAATAGGACTTAGATTGGCAGGATATATAAGTACCTAAATACAAGATGGGTTGTACTGGGTTTTGGGTCATTAATGCTAGCATGAACAGGAATATAATCTTAATTTTGACTGGTTTTGGATTATATTGATGCTTTAGCCACTGCCCACCTGAATCACAGTGCTCCCCGTAAGCACTGCTCTTCTGACAGTCTTGACAGGCCAATCCACTGAATCCTTCCTGGATTGCAAGGAGCAAGCAGAGGAGACCATAACATAGACTGAACTTTAGTGACACAGACAGCAGGTGGTATAGTCACTAAGAAACTAAAGGTGCGCTCCATACTAGTCATTTAATGACAAACTCACATGAAAAACCAGATTGATACATGACTTCTAAATGTATATGGAAATGAAAGGATATAAACTCCTGTGTTTGATGCGGAACAGGATGAACCAAAAGTAGCTATGCTAAAATAGCTTCAGTTTTCCTATGCTACTTAAATTGCAGCACACAGAAAAACACCAGCACGACTCACATCACAGACGCATGTGCCGTTTCCTGCGGCTCCATCCATGCAGCTGCCATGCCCATTACACGCTTCACCTGACCAGCTGGGGCATGCTGGGGAATTGTGAAAAAAAAAATCATGTCAGGGGCGTCGAGACCCCAGCTAACGTCTGAAAACCATCGCAGGGAAAGCTGGAAGAGGGACGAGCCACTCACGCAGACAGAGAGGCCCCCAGAAGTTGGGGCAGCATCTGAGCTCTGACACCCTCTTCTCACAGGTGTGCCGGCAGCCGGGTAGGACCCGCAGGCGCCCCCCGATGCTCACAGTGTAACTGCATCACATAGCGGCACCATGACACAGAGAAGGAATGAACCATGACGGATCTATCCAAGGTTTTTATTTGTTGAGAGCTGAGGTACCAAGCCTAAGTGAGTGTGTCAGCGACTCACCAGGGTCTAGGTGTCATGCCACAGCTCTAACACTCTAACAAAGTAACACACTAATATAAAACACACTGACACACTAATACTCCAGCACATTAATAGAAACAAACTAACACAACAACACACTAATACACAAACACACTAATACACTAACAGCAACACACTCTTAAACACAATAATACACAAACACACTGACAACGTAACACATTAATACACAAACATACCAACACACTGATACACTAACACACTAATACACAAATACACTAACGCACTGACACACTAATACACAAACACCCTAATACACTAACAGCAACACACTCTTAAACACAATAATACACAAACACACTGACAACGTAACACATTAATACACAAACATACCAACACACTGATACACTAACACACTAATACACAAATACACTAACGCACTGACACACTAATACACAAACACCCTAATACACTAACACATACAAAAACACACTGACGCACTAATAATGTAACACACTAATACACTAACAGCAACAAACTAACACAGCAACACACTCTTCAACTAACACAATATTACAAAAATACACTGACAGCATAACACACTAATACACAAACATACTAATACACTAACACACTGATACACTAATACACAAACACCTTAACACAACAATTCACCAACATACACTAACACACTAATACAGGAACAAAACGACACTCTCCCACCCCCAAGCTAACATTCCGGCCCGGAGTGCCACCTGCAGCCCCTGTCCCCGATGTCCCCGCTGGTGTTCCTGAAGCCCCTGGGGCAGGTCATGGCTGGGGAGGCGGCACAGGAAGTGCATGGTGTAACTGCGCTAATGGCTCGATGCTCGTCGCAGCGGTTCGGGGGGTTCGGGTCCTGCTGGGGGCCGTAAGCATACCGGTCACCCCGCTCACAACCCCCTCCGTCACACAGCAACCTCATGTGGTGTTTACATAATACCACTATGCTTTATTTAAAATTGTGTTCTTTTCCACTTTAATTCCGGTTTCCTATGAAAACTTTCACCATAATAGCAATATGATGGAAGCAAAGACAACGAACTTATTTTAACTTAAAATATAAACAATAATCATTATCAGCTACAACTTCCCAGCCACTGGGGAAAAAAAAACATTTTTAAATAAAAATTGTTAAAAACTGAATGCCGGGCTTTTAGAGAAAGAATTATCATGGGGTAAGAGGAGAAGCAGGATGCCTATTGGCTTACCTCGAGCTCCTCGCTGAACGACATGACCAATCCCAAAATAAGAAGAAGAAGGAGACGCATGTTGATCTCGGAGCGGCTGGCGGCTGAAGCCCACAAACCCACCAGCGCCGGAGCCCGCAGGCTCATGACTGGGAGGTCAAACGGGGTCCCGTGCGTCAGGGGGAGGCCGGGCCCCCGGGCAGCCCAGGGACAGGAGACCGTCATTGCTATGGATTTCAGGAAAATGACTGCAGGAAAACATCCTTTACTGAGAGGGGGAACAAAAACGGATTTCCTCCCCAGAATTGCCTCTGTGTCTGGCCGGATTTCCTTGTTTGTCAACTGATTGGCCCTACGAATCAGCACATGCTTGGAAACAATAAACTGTTACTCAACTGCAATTACGTTAATTGTTTTGAAGGACTCTGTGTTTGTCAAGCTTGGCAACATTTCATTGTGCCATGTTTGTACCTTTTTTATTTATACCATATACCCAGTGTCATAGACACAGTCTCGATGGATGGAAGACATTTTATTTTTTTGTCCACGTCGAATACCTGCAATTCAGTTGTTGAGCTTTTTGTCGTATGTATTGACAGATTGTTTTTCTAGTGGCAGAAAGTTAGATGGCAGAATTTTTGAAACAGGATCCCTGAAGCGCTTGTAGAAACGTCATTAAAAGTGGCTCGTTGATTAGTACTGCTGCTTCACATCTCTGGGGTTGGGGGTTTTGGCTGGAGTCCGTTCTTTCTATGCTGTGAGGATTCCCGCCAAAGACACAAAGCAAATTGTCTCACAGTTGCCTGGAGAGTATGATTGTGTGTATGAGCCCTGGGATGGATTGACATCCCATCCAGACAGTTCCTTTGCCTTCAATTCTTGGTTATGATGAATGACCTCATCTTTAAATGAATCGTAACTTCAGTGTTTGAAAGCAGGGTGTGGCATGGTGGTGGCATTGTGAGCATTGTTTGCCTCATACGTCTGGGACGGGGGCTGCATGTTCTCTCCGTGTCATTGTGGGGTTTCCTCCAGGTACCCCGGTTTCCCCTCACAGTCCAAAAACATGCTGAGGTTAATTGGAGTTACCGAATTGCCCATAGGTGTGAATGGTGTGTGTGTGTGTATGTGTGTGTGTGTGCCCTGTCATAGGTTGGTGCCCCATCCTGGGTTTCAGAAGAATTAAACTGGTGTGACACAATCCGCTTTTAAATACCTAGCCTACAGAAAAAAGAGATCCTCAAAGCGACCAGTACCTTACAAATCATCCTACACCTTTTAGAAGCTCACAGAATCAGCCATCCAGCGAAGAGCACAGTTTGACTTTCGGTCAATACACGTCAGGAGCTGGATCTTAAGCAGACAGGAAATGGCCGAGTGATGAGGTTGTAGCTGACCGTACGGAGGTCCTGTATCTGCCAGATGGAAAAAAAAAAAGAAAAAGCTTCCTGTCTTTGTTTTTCTTCGCTCGAGTTATTCAGCAAAATACAAAAAAAAGGACAAGAGCAGTTACAGTGCAGCCAGTTTTCCAAAACTGCAGAGTGCCCTCATTGTTTCCGTTTATCTGTGTGCATGTGAATGGCGAAGGCAGAGACAGGCACAGAAAGTCAATGAACAGGGCCGAGAGCAAACAAGACACCACATCACAAGTGAGGAGGGGATGCAATGCATGTCTTTATTTTGTGTTTCATAGATACTCATCTCTGTTTATTAGACTTTAAATGCCAATAATAATAATTATTGTTTTTTAAAAAAAAGCATGTTTAAATCCCAATCAATGCACTGAGCCAAAAACGCTGTATTCGAAAACATTGACCTGGAAGGTGTTAACATGCGATTATTATGTAAACATAGGAAGTGAGTCTTTCAGTTTCACCTCGACATCCTCTTCCATTTTAAATGCACACACTCGTCAGTAAAACACACACCTTTCAGTCACTACGCCTCCTAACCTTTAACATACATTTGTCTTTTCTTAAAAAAAATTTAAAAGGTTGAAGAGGTCAACCTTTCATCATAAACTCTGATAAACCTAATACTTAGAATAAAATACAGTTTCTTTTAATAGAAAGTCTAGATTACATGGACAAACATGCTTTTTTTCAATAATTTACATATTGCAGATTGTACATAGCAGCGACATAACACAGGTTTGAAGCAGCAAAGGGGACAAGCTAATCAAGAAGACCAAAAAATTATAATTATAATAATAATTAAAAAACAATAAATATCTAACTCTTGTGGACTCAACTTCCCAGAATGCTTTGTGAGGAGACAGTACAAAAAAAATCATAAATAAGAATGAGGGTTAGTGAAAAATCTTTGGGGATATTTTCCCTTTTTATGGAATGTGAACCTCCTCTCTCAGCCGGTCAACTCGAGCGGCAGCTCCCTGCTGCACAGCGCCTCCCACTGGCGGGCCAGAAGCGAGATTAACCGCTCACGGCTGTCAGTGCCGGGCACGAACACGCACCACTGCACCTCGTTCTCGTCCACGCCGGGGTACTGCGACCGCCTGGCGGCGCCAGCCTCCTCCTCGGCGAAGTGGTCCATGGTGAGGTGGCAGAGAAGATCCGGACCGGGGACGTCGTCGAACACCAGTGTCAGTGCCTGAGGGTATGGCTGGTACCCCATCAGCACCCGGTCCAGGTCCCGGATGCGCCGCGCATCTGTCAGCTGGTACTTGTCCCGCTGTGGTGGTTCCTTGGCGAACTCGGGGAGCGGGTAGCTGACGTAGTCTTCGTCCAGGAGGAAGACGTCGGTGCTGGTGAGGACAAGCGTCTTGGCCTGCAGGTGCGGAGGCCCCTCAGAGGCTGGGCCGGGCCCGTTCACCTGGAATGCCAGCACGTACAGCAGGATGTTGAAGGCCAGCGAGTGTCCAGGGGCCCCCTTCCTGCCTGCCACGATGAAGGTGAGGTCCCCAATCTCCTCTTCGCTGGGATACACGAACTTCACTTTACTCGAGTGCACCAGCTCATAATTCTCCATTTTGCCTACCAAAAAACATCCGTTTGGCTGTTAATTAGGGCAGCAGAAAGAAAATAACAGCATATTAACAAATTAGACTTTCACCAAAATCTCCATGGGTCCTGCACGAAAAAAGTACTGCAAGTATATAGATCTCAGTCCCCCCCCCCCCCACAAGTCCACATTTTTGGTTCAGCCCAAGACCTACATTCCCGAGCCTGGTAATCAAGGGCTTTATAATCAGCCGACAAGTAAAATCAAGAGGTGTAGGTGGGGGGAACAGCACAGCCTATCTGCGAGGGCCTGAGGGCTGTTCTAGCAGGTGTGTGATGAAAAGTCATCTGTCTTCATTTCTTCAGTACAGGGCTGCAGTGAGTCTGGAGGTTATTCTAAGACACATGGGGTGTGAGGCAGGGGAAATACTGGATGGGATTCCAGCCAATCACAGGGCCCACAGACACATACTAAGGATAATTTAGAGTCACCCAAAAATGTTTTGGGACGGTGGGAGGAAACCCGTACAACACCGCCAAACTCCACACGAGCAGAGCTGGAGATAAGTTTCGGACTCAACCTTAGAGGCATGAGACGAATATGCTACCTACTGAGACATCCAGTTAAAAACACTTTAGTTAAAATATCTAGCTGTAGTAACTGAGGAAATGTAAAACTTCTAAAAGATGCACAAGCATTTTTTTAAACGGAGTACCTGATATGCAGCTGGGTCACACACACCACACTCCCTTACCTGTGTTCTTCTTGCCAAACTGGGTGTAGAAGTCCAGCTCGGAGGGTTCAGGCGAGGGCACCTTCTCCAGCAAGGAGAGCACGGTCATGAGCTGCTGCAGGAAGCGGTGCGTGCTGTAGCCATCCCTCGTCAGGCAGGAGACGATGTGGTCGGCTGACGGCCCTGCCGACATGACACGACACAAGATGGGGGCCCTCGGCGTCCGCACGACACTCAGAGCCCAGAACGTTCTGTGGCGGGGACACCACTCACCGACCACCCGGAAGTATTGGTCGAAGAGGCCCACGTTGACACTCTGCAGGTCCTTCAGCTTCATGGACAGGCAGTAGGAGATGATGAAGCCGCTTTCCTTGTCCTCTGGGGGGCGCCAGTTCCATAACGCTACGCAGGGGACACCAACATTGCACACATAGGTGTTGTTTCGGAACATCCTGCTAGCTCGCATCACATCCACTGTCCCGTAACCAGGGGTGGGTTTGTGGTTGCCCTGTTCAAAAAGTCACTGCTTGCATGTAATGTTAACGTTAGCAAATCAATAGAGTCAGAAGATCGCAGCTAGCTAGCCGTTTCAGCATCTAAATAAGGAATTTATTTAATATTTAATGTAATGACTATTTGTGGCCAACAGGGGGCCCCAAACCTCAAGGGCTCCATGCGAATGCATGGTGTGAATGGTGGTAAACACTGCCACCACCTGTATTGCACAGCGGCCTTGCAGCCGTCCATGCGGCCCTCACCTGCCTCGTTGCTGAGCACGGCTGCGCTGTCGTCCAGGATGAAGTAGACCGCCTTGGTGGAGAGCAGGATGCAGGCCGTCGTCTCCACGTCGGGGATCTTGTAGAACAGCACGGACGACCACAGGATGTGCTTCAGCTCCTCGTTCTCTACCTGCGCGTTTCATAATGGAACACACAGATCAAAGGCGATCACACGACAGCAAATTAGCAGCCTAATTAACCTAATTTGAGGACCCATCCATCCATCCATTCATCTGCAGATCTGTCTGCTTAACCAGCGTAAGGCTGCAGGGGGCCTGGAACCTATCCCAAGCAGCACAGGGTAAAAGACAAGGGACACCATGGATGGCAAGCCAGTCCAGCACAGGTCACACACAGGTCACACACAGGTCACACACAGGTCACACACAGGTCACACACAGGTCACACACAGGCACCACAATCATGGAGTCTGGGCAATTCAGAGACACCAGTTAGCCTAACAGCATGTCTTTGGACTGTAAGGCCATTTTTCCATGGCACCAAGTACTGCACTTTAGGTACTTTGAGAAAGTACTTCAAGGTGTTGGTTTTTCACTGTAAAAACTGGTACCGGCGCCAAATGACATCACAGTACGGGGCGGAGTATTTTGTACTGAAATCGAAAAATGGCTGTAGTATATTATAGGGCTGGACGATGTGCGATATTAATACCAACATGTTATGCATATGCAGTTCTTACATTGCTAATCAGCTATATTAAAATAAGGCTTTTTCTTACTTTCAATTCTGTATGGACATTATAGCGCAGGGGGTTAAATTTTCGCTAAAATTTTTCATAGGAAAAAGAAAATTAGCAAGCTTTGCCATTTTAATTATTATTCCTGCTATAGATTCTTATAATTTTAAAAATAAGTTTACCTCCACTGCTTTTGCATGAGCGCTGCATGCATTCCCTGAAACAATCAATCATTTTCATCCTTGCCATTTAAATCACTAAAAGACAGGTTTGTGAGAAATTTATAAGTTTATATATATGTTTTATCAGTGCCCCAATATTTATTACAACAAAATCACATCACTAGTATATAAAACAAACACTTTTAAAATTTCTTGTCACGCCATCCTGATCTTTTTGTTTTATCTGTTCTTCTGTCCAGATCGCATTTTATTTATTTTTTTTACTTTGTTTATCGTAGTTTTCTGAGGTTTGCAACTGTTTTCAAGGTGGCATTCGTATTGTATTTCAGCGGCTATTTGCATAACCAAAGAAAGTCCCACCCCAAAAGTACAGAAATACCAAAGAAGTACCCCAGCTGGTTTGGCACTTTCGGTACTGAAACTTTCGGTACTGGTACTCGTCCGGAAGTCAATGGAAAAGCGAGAGTACTGAAAGTACCGCACCAAAGGTACCGTACTTGGTGTGGTGGAAAAGCACCCTAAAAGGACACTGGTACAACAAGGAGAACATGCAAACTGCACACACACAGTGGGATTTGATCCTCTAACCCACTGAGCCTCTGTGCTGCCCCAATAACCATCAGTACCAGCTGTGGATAGGCTGATCACTGATTTTGTTATTTGTTCATGAGACAGAGCTGAACGTCACTGCAGGGCCTGAACGTCACTGATGGGCCACACCTCAGCCACACTGGTGTAGAAGAACTCGAGCAGCTGCTCCCCCCGCAGGCCAGCCAGGAAGCAGAGGGCCGGGGAGAGGACCAGGTGAGACGGGCACCGGTTCTCCTCGGAGAGCTTCTGGATGAGGGAGCCGTCAGGGTACAGCAGGGACAGGGTTAGCCGGGGCCTCTGCACACCTGGGGGGACGCTGACAAGGGGACAGCTGGTGACATCGGAACATTTAGCTAACCACAGTGGTACCTTTACTAATACAATAATTTCACAGAGCTTAGCCTAGTCAGGCAGATTTCATTTCATAAGACTATAGACCATGGCTTTCTGGAATGTACTGGAATGTTCTAGCACAACGAGGAGACAAAGAGATAGATACACTTACATAACCAATGTATTGTAGCACTGGGGGGGTTCTTTTTTGTTAGCGGGGGGAACTTTTTCATTAGCGGATTAACATTTTTGTGCTCCCATACTCGCGTAACATTTTTTTCCACAGTTAAAGTAAATAAAGTTTAACAGTCAAAGACTTTTGTAAATCCTAACATCACACATATTTGCTCCGATCTGTTGAGGGCATACTGATGGCTGACTACATGTAAACACAAAACATGATTGGGTTGATAACCCTGGTTGTTTTCCAGGTTCTGATTGACAGAGCTGTAGACCAGTAAATAGCCGAGACCCTCATTCCTAGTTCCGGGTAAACAGTGCCATGTTTGTAGTACACAAGTGGCTTCATTAAGGGTAAAATGTCAGCATGAGCCAGTGGCGGAATAGGACTCCTCTGACAAAAACTGTTATATCTCACAAACAGAATATCATTGAAAGAAAATGTATTGCAGAGACCTTACACAATCCAGTGACCCTCAGTTGGGTAAGTCCTAAACACCCAGGTAATCACTGCAGCCCTGTAGAACTAAATTGCTAAAGATGTTAAAATTTCAGCTCTCTAGGTATGTTTTTAAGGGTTTCAGAGCCCAAAACCAAACTGAAGCTAAATTCATATAATAAAAGTTGATTATCATTAGCTTTCACAAAATTATTTTTTTGTGGTTTATCAGCTTATTGATTTAGTATTATCGAATTAAACTTCAGAGTTAGTGGATTAGTGGTTATTAAAATTAACATTTCAGTTAGCATGCCCACCATTAATTTTATATAGCATGTGTGCAGTAAAGTTTGTCGACCATGGAAAAAGGTGGGGGAGGGGGGCGGGGCTTGCAGTAAAGATGATAGACTTTTGGGGGGGCACTGATGATGTGGGTTGTGAAAAAGAAGTGGATTGGAAATGTACAGTAAATTTATTAAATTAATCAACCTCTCCCCTAAAACCCCAGCGCTCTGCGACCCAGAGGAATACTGCCTGGGGGTCAGGAAGCCCTGTTCTAGAATGTTCCTCAGTGTTCTGGTACCTGTTCACTGGCACTCTCTTGGTCCACGTGGAGGGCGCCTGCTGACCGGCACCAGTCCTGTGGCAGGAGGCCGCTTGCAGGAAGGCGACAGTCTTGATGTCCCTCAAGCTGGCACGAAGCTGTCCAAACTGCCGCAGGAAGACGAACTTGTCGTGGGGCAGGAGGAAGACGGCGGTGACGGGCTCCGGGCCCACCATGAGCTCCAGCGCGTGGCTGTCCTGGGAGCCGCAGCAGCTCTGCTGGGGGTGCAGGAGCACGGAGGCCAGCGGGAGGCGAATCAGCCTCATGGAGGAGCGTGGGGGGCAGGCGGTAATGGGGCCCTTGGCAAGGGAGAGGAAATCTACCTTGAGAATGCAGAGGTGACGGGGGGTGAGGAAGAGAATGAGAGGCATGGAGCCCGAGGGGCCGTCCGCATCTGGGGGCCACGCATCTGACAGAATGTCTGAATATGGGGGGCTGAGGAACCAAGAGGAGTCGGGTGCCTCCGCTGCAGGGGGCGTGAGGTGAGCGAGGAAGGCCCCTTTGACTGTACAGTCCTTCTCCTCATACTCCCATGAGTTCAGGAGCTGCCGAATGAGGCTCTGCTGTGTGACAGCGCCCCCTGGTGGCTCGGAGGGGCAACTTGATGCCAGTGCAGAAAGCAGAGAATGCATGTCCCTCAGACTGTGGGCGTCGGATAAGAGGTAGAGGACTCCATCATTGCCCCGTATTCTCAGCGACAGGCACACCTCCGGTACTTCGAAGCGGAGCTCCTCGATGTCAGTGCAGGGCGCGAGCAGCTCCACCACCAGGCCGGCCACCAGGTCCGGAATGTTCCAGGGCTGCTCACGGTACCGAGCCCGGAGCACTACCAGCCAGGGGTCCGCCAAGACGACGCAGGCCATCAGCTGCCTGTCTCTCTGGCCGACCCGGATGCCGTGAGCCCAGATCACCTTGTTGATGCGGATGGCTTCCTGCGCCGGTTCCTCAGACACACTGGGGCCCCCGAGCCCATCCTCGTGCCGGCCCAGGCCCACCTCGAAATAGCCGTCCCCAGAGAAGGAGCCCACGGGCTCCGCCTCTTCCCCACTCCTCTCACTCCTCTCCAGGGGCTCCTTCCCCCCCAGCTCCTGTGCCGCCTTCACCACGAGGGATGACAACTCCACCGTGAACTCCAGGTTGTCGGCGGCGTAGGAGACGAGGCAGAAGGGGAGCACCAGCGCGCTGGCCCCGCCCACCCAGCCGGCCCGGTCCTCCGCACAGCGGCAGCAGCTGGGCGTAAAGACAACACAGAGGGGCGCCGGTGCTCCAGTTAACGGCCTGGGCACAAACACAACCCCTCCCCCCCCGGCCACATTCACAGAGACAACACTGCACAGAATGGGGGCTCTACACACACAATGTCAAGTAAAATCAAATAAGTGTCGATTATTCAAAAACATACACACACATCACAGGGTAACCGGCAGTCATACCTAATCTGCTGATCACTGACAATTTCAACTGAAAAGCAGGAAGGAAGTGGGCGTGTAATCTGAAAGGAAATGGCAATATGTGAAAGAATATCATGTGACATATGTTCACAGCCATATTCATAGAAAATTATTTACGATATAAAATCAAGTACACAGAGATCATTTACTTGATTATCACATTGTTAAGTCAGCGAATTTAAATTACAATACCTGTAGTGTTTCCTCACAAGAAGAGTTTTCTATAAATTTGCATTGCTGGGTATTTGATGAATCCACAGGAGTCAGTATTTGATTGGTAACTACCATTTCTTCTTTAAAAATTAATTCTGGAAAGATAACGGGACTCGTTTAAGCAGAACACCCTGACTTTAGGCGTAAACCAAAGTTTGCAATGAAGTTTGGGAGTATTTCAGGGAAACGGAGTAAATGAGGAGCACATGATACCAGCAGATCATTCAGTGCAAAAGTCCACCCCATAGATATCCATAAAAAACCAAACAGGTAAGATCTCTTTAGAAGCCTTCTTGCAATTTTTGCTTCATACTGCTTCGACTGGCCAAAACAGCAAAACAAAGCTATTTTAACTGACACTTGCATTTTGGCCAGAGGTAATAATGGTAACACCGATAAGAATAATGTGAAATATTCCAGTAATAATCTTATAATATAAATAATGTTAACTATATAATTAGATGTATGCGAACATGCTTGTTTTTCCACTAAAAAGTGTATACAGGCAGCTAAAGAAAATATTTTGCTTAAAAGGAAAGTGATTGTAAGGTTTTAAAAATAGGAAACCTAAAGAAAATGCAACACACAGGCAAACAGAGAGAGAAGATTAGCAACACATGCTAGAGCCTCCGGCCAGACGAGTGACCAGTAAAGGTCATGTGACCTGCATGAAATGCAGACGAATGGAAACTGCCGTTTCGCCTTGAAACATGTCTCTCCTGCCCAGTGTTCAAAGGAGGTTGGCCAATGATTTTTGCCACCACAGACACTGATAATTTGTTCCCTATTTAAGTAGCTTCCAGTTTATCATGGCTACAGGGATGTTCTATGGCAGAGGAAAATGAGGCATATCTACACTGACAGCTGATCTGCTCCATGAGTACGAGGCAGGAGAGAGAGGGAGACACCTTTAAGCGGATCAATGCTGCACAGTGAGGAAGGTCACAAAAAGAGTGGAAAAGACAAAGTAGCCAGGACTAGAAGTTTTTTTTTTTTTTTACTTGGTAGATGCTTTTATTTAAAGAAAAACCATTTTTGATAGAGCAGAATCAGACAGTCCCATAAGGAATGGGGGTGAGAGGCTTTTTAAGGTGAGATCACTCTGTCAGCTCTGGGATTCAAACCCACACCCTTCAAAGCATGTGCACAGCGTCCTAACCCTCTGAGCCATGCACCATCCCCCAAAGAAAGGCCTGCTTTCTGAGACTTTAACCACTACACCTCCTAACTTAGCCTAGCGCAGGGGTGGGCAATCTTATCCGCAAAGGGCCGGTGTGTATGCGGGTTTTTGGGATAACCTGTAGGTCAGCTGTTCAAACCCAGGTGTGAGGACTCTTCAGCCAATCAGTCCTCTAATTAGTAATCTAATTAGGGAGTTGCAGCAAAAACCCGCACACACAGCGGCCCTTTGCGGATAAGATTGCCCACCCCTGGCCTAGTGGCTGTAAAATATTATTAGAGTAAGAGGAGGTGAAGGCCCGCGGGGTGGAGGGGGTGGTGACTATGCAGCATTGGTCGGCATGGAAACGCCTGGTCTGGCACGTGTGGAGTGGGCCCCGCCCAGCAACCCGCCCGGCGGCCAGATACATACATGATTACCTTGGCTGGAGCTGGCCGGGGGGGGCCGAGGGGGAGAGGGGGGCGGGGCAGCAAGAAAGGACGAGGAGGAGGTGGAAGACGAAGGGGATCCACCCGCGGAGAGTCTGGAGTCCTCACTGATCTAGCAGAGAAAGTGCAAGAGCAGTCTTCAAGGACGCCGTGTGACTGGGGCCATGATGGGGGTGGGGAGGATTGTGGGGGCAGGTCTGCTAAAAAACGCCAACTGTCAGGCCTATGAGCCCCCTTTCAAGAAAAACCGAGTGACTTTCAGAAAGAGCACTGTAGCCAGAGCTGACCATAGCTACACTATTCCAAAGGGATTTACAGATACTAATATAAATTTCTCTCAACCATAATGGAAACAGAATAAAAAATAAGATTTGGCCAATAAGATTTCAAATATGCCTGAATTTTTATTATTATTAATAGATCTGGTGAGAAAAAAAGAAACAGAGGACTAGAGTAGAACTAAAGCAGAAAAGTGGGACCTTTAGCCTCTTTTATCTCACGGAGGGGAGACAGCAGCAGAGTTTGAGGTCACTAGCGACTGGAAACAACAAGCAAAGCAGCATGGCTGACCCAACAAATGAGGATGTGGAAACAGGTTCGAGGCCAGAGCTCAGGGAAGCAAAACACCAGCAAGACTGCTAGCCGTCAGAATGCTACACTGGCTTTCAGAGAAACAAGCCAAAGAGAGTCTAATCAGGCTTCCAAAGCCTCAAACACCAGGAACACTGCGAGGTTAAAGCCTTGCCGGACCGTACCATATGAAATAACAAACGGGGGGGAGGTCACCTCAACGTGAAAAATCGGGGGGAGGGGGGCAGCTGCATGGTATCCCCCCCTCAAAGATCCTCTTTCGAGTGAAACTATCTTAGGACAGCATGTCCCTGTATCTCTATCAATATAAAGTTACGAGTCAGTGAATCCCCCCCCCACATTCCTTAAGGCCAAACCACTTACCCTTTCAAACTGGGAACTGGAAACTCATCTTTTTAAATGTTTCATTGTTTTTGCATGTGCATGCGTCAAACAGTACTTCTGCCTAAGTGTCAATGTATTGCTAATGTATGCTAGTGGTTTTATCGAAAGCTGTATAATTCATGCAGCTATTCATTTTACTGTTGTAAAAAACCTTCTAAAAGAGACTCTCCTGGGACTAAAACCTGCCTGAAGCTCGTTATAACTACCACAGGAATAATAATAATAATAAATAATAATAATAATAATAATTATTATTATTATTATTATT